AACACATTTCTGGTGGGTAATTTTTTCTTAAATTTCAAAGAGGTATGTGTTTGTCCGTTGTGGTCAAGTTCAGCTTACTCAAAGTGAGGAGCAAGTCGTAGGAGCTCTCACCGAGCAACAGGAAGCTTCCAGTGCAAAGACCTCATTCCAATGTCTTATAAGGCAGTAGAGAACTTATGTGTCTTGGGAATTTAGGGAAGGTCTGCTAACATCGTATTCTTCTTTCCTTAAATTTTCCCACCCGCAATATAAATATTTTTAATAAAGTGAATTCTGCAAGGCACCTACGAGATGTCCCTCTCGGGACATGATCTCAAGGAGATCCCAGGCTGACAATCAGGTTCTGAGAAGGGGAGTGAGGTTGGCTGGCCCTGCGGAGACTGGGATTGATGAATGGTGTTGTGATAAGCAGGGAAACAGATCAGTGGCGGCCTCTGCTCCCAGCTGTCACAGCTGTGCCTCTTCTCCCTTGCAGCCTTCTAAAGCACCTCCTTTCCTGTGGAATTTCTGTAGATCATTTGCTCAGACGCCAAGATGCCATAGCAGCAGCTGGCTCTGAGAATCCGGTCAGATGCACGTATTTGTTGTGGTTTAGAACATTACCTTAGCGATTCCCCCTCCCTGCCTTCCCCAGGAGTGAAGGGGAACACGTGTACTCTAACTTTGGAAAGAGAGAGCAAGCTAGTCAAATTGCAAAGCCAAGTGCACTGTTAATAGGGGAAGGTAGTGCATTGTTTCTTTTTCTAAAATGTTTTATAAAGGGGACTGAGAGGTGAGCCATCACATGGTTTTGTAGACTCCCACACATAGATTGCCAAGCGTGACTTGGTGTCTGAGTTAACTTGCCCGCTACAGCAAAGCGTCATTTCAGACATAAGGTGACTGTTACCTGGTAACAGGCACTCAGACCACCTTCAACGCAGGTCCCTTGGTGTACTTTCTTTCCCAGCAGTCTCAGGGAGTCAACCGTTCCCTCCTGAATAATGATCTAGGCTGGCTGTGGCAGGAGCCAAAGGCAAGCCACATGAACATAGCTCCAAATTCAGCCCATTGTGCGATGTGTGGATGGGTTTCAAGGTCACTAAAGATATTAGCAGGCTGGGCACAGCGGTGCTGGCCCGTAGTCCCAGCTACTTGGGGAGCTGAGGCAGGAGGATCACTGGAGGCCAGGAGTTTGAGACCAGCCTGGGCAACATGGTGAGACTCTGTTGCAAAAAAAAAAAAAAAAGGCATCGACGTCAGCGATACATGAGTTGTTTATTCCATTGGCCAAACAGGTATCGCTATTCCCATTTTATATGTGAAGAAACTGAGGCTCAAAGAGGTTGATAGGGGACAGAACTAGAAATAAGACCCACATGCAGATCTTTTGAGTCCTTGTGATGTTTTCTTTCTACTACGTCTTGTGCCCTTGTCAGTCTATGATTCTGAAATACGAAAACTGGCTTTTCAGACCTGGGTGACGGCGCTGGTCAGCGTTGTTTCAAAGCCTGTGTCCCAAAATGCAGACTTTATTTTCTGCGAAGGTGAGTTGTGGCTTTGAAGTCAGCAACAGAATGAGATTATTTAGCATTATTTGTTTTTATTGCATCCAATTATGCCTTAATAAGTAATCTCCAAGTAAATAATTGGCATAATGAAATGAGTATTTAAAGAAGTTTAGGTTTATGACCCTTTTTATAGCAGTGCCAGAGATATGAGCAAGACTAAGAAATCAAAACATTTTTGAAGAAACTCTTGTCAGTTCAGTTTCATGCTTTCAAAATGGGGCAGTACTGAAGTACACACCGCTCCTGAGGGTCTTCTACACAAAACTAGCAAGTAATTTTTCTGAAAATAAGATTACAGAAATGTGTTTTTATGGGAGAAAGCTTGTTTAAATATACATTTTTTTCTACTTCTAAACATGGAAAAAAATATTGCACTTTATTTTTAAATGTAAAATGCATATTTCTGAAAGCAGCATGACTGAAAGCTTTTCTCTTAAACTTCTACTATTTATTTATTTTGCCATTATCTGATATGTCAGCAGTGTCTCGTAATGCCTTGTGTCACACAAAAGCAAACACAGTCACGTTACATTAATGACTAGGCTGGGATCATATAACTGACTGGCTATAATTCTACGCCCCCTTGCTATAAAAAACATGACCCTAAATCCTAACCAGCTTTTGAATAAAAGGCCCCACAATTATGATATGGTAACAAAGTTCATGTTATATACAATTTGATTGTTTCAATGCTCTTTGCCCATCCATTTTCATTTTGCCTGCTGTTTGTGTGTGTCAGTAAAAAGTCAAGTGGAAAATCCACTCTTTGGTATTTCAGGCACAACGTTCATTTACCCAGCATGTTCGGCAGGATAAAACTAAATATCGTGGAAACCTCTTTTATAATCCTGGTGTTTGAAGTTAGGACTAAACCCGCCTTGCAATGTGATTGTAATCACAGACCTTTTCCATATGTACGCAGGTTTCCCAAATGAGGCCCAGGTAATAATCTACGTCTAAATATATAATCAATCACTCCAATACCACCTGGTTTTTTAGCTAGACTAGTCTTTACCAGTTAGTAGTTGCTCAACAAGTGCTAAGTCTCTGGAGGAGAAACTAACCTCTGTGGTCTGTTACTTACCCAAAGGGTTCAGTAGAGATTGCTAGCAAAAGCAGCCGCGCGTGTCTAGCATGTCAGGCAAAACGACACTAGTGAAGGCAGCTCTGTGTGATTTTGTCTTCCTCACAGAGGGAGCCCTCACAAGAGCTCTAGCATGCACTTTTGTCCTTTCTGTGAGTCTTGCGGGGTTATGTTTCGGAGGCTAGATAGAGAAATCTTCCACTGTTGTACCATTTCCTTCAGTGCCTGCAGCTTTTATTCCTTTCAACAAGTGTTTAGAAGAAAGTGTTGATGCTTATTAATCTGTTTCTTGTCTTACAAATGTGCTTACGCATGATTGGTGGCAAAACTGTCTCTCTGACAGCTCTCGATGTAATCTACGTGGCAGGACAAGATTGTTACACTGAACAGATCTGTTTGGAATTGTTATTCTTTGTAATTACCTTCATTAAGTGAAAGCATGTGTCAATCAACTTGGAACTTTAAACATACCTGTAATTTGCAAGAAAAATGCATTCTGATTTCCTATAGGCACATGTGTGCTTGAAGATGAGTATACATATAGGTAGGTATGTATTACAGAAACATGTTTCTGTAGTTTTCTGAGTGTAATTTCTCCCTGGTTTGCATGTGGTAACTTTAAATATAAAGTGCACAACTCCAGAAAATGATATAAACAGAGTTAAGTTTAATAAATGACTAATTTATGTACTAGTGTGAACAGATACCTTTTTTGACACCTGGTCTCGCTGTCACCCAGGCTGGAGTACAGTGGCATCATCCTAGCTCACTGCAACCTCCAGCTCCTGGGCTCACGCAATCCTCCTGCCTCAACCTCCCAAGTAGCTGGGACTACAGGCCTGCACCACCACATCCAGCTAATTTTAAAATTTCCTTGTAGAGATGGGGTCTCGCTATATTGCCCAGGCTGATTTTGAACTCCTGGCCTTTAACTCCTCCCCTTTCAGCCTCCCAAAGTGCTGGGATTACAGGCGTGAGCCATGGCGCCGGGCCTGAACAGATACTTTTTAAATAAAGAACACACTCCTTCCTAAATCTCTGTAATAAAAGTATACATTCACATGAATTTTAACTGCCACTCCTTACTATGAATATAAATTTGAAAACACATTTACTCTTTTGCTTTACTACATATTGTACATCAACCATGGGGTTATAACTTTCTTGATTCGATCAGCGGGCCGGGGTGACCATTTCAGGAAACTTCCCGAGCTTTATTTAACAGGCCAGTTAAACAGGCCGCTCATTCTGCCTTTCACGACGTATAAACCAATGCCCTTCTCTGCCTCGGTGCGACAGACGCCTGGCGCGTTCACTCGTTCATTCACCATTCGTTTCATTCTCTCATTCCCTCATCCACATTCATGGAACAACCGCGGTGTCCACAGCACCGCGGGAGATTAGAAAATGAACAAGACGCTCAGAAGCGGATCTAGGGAAGGAAATGGGAGAACAGCGCAGGCGTCCCGGCCCAGCGTGCTAGCGCGGCTTTCCCGGGCTGGGCGTCACGCAAGTTGCTTCTCCGCGTCCCCCGCGCGGCCGCCAACCCCCACCAGGGGGCGTCCGCGCACAGGAGGAGAAGACGACGGAGGCGGCTGTGCGGCCGCCCGGCGACTCCCTCCCTCCTCCGGGCGGGAGTGACTATTAAAGTGAGGTTCTCGAATGATCCGGTGACTCCAGTGATGCAGCGTTCGCTCGGTACAGGAGCCAGAGGGACCTTCGCGGACCGGCTTTCTGCAGCCTCCAACCCTGCGGCGGCTTCCGGCCTCCCACAGCGGAAGCGGAGACGCCTTCCCGCCGCCTCCCCCCGCCTCGCCGCATCTCCTCCTCGCCCGCTCTCGGGCACCCCCCACTGCGGCCTTCGCACCGCTGTCCCCCTGCCTGGCGCTCTCCCCACCTGGCCAGGTCTCCTCCTTCCGGTCTCCGTCAAACACCCGCGTCTCCGTGACGCCCCGGTCGCCGCCCCTCCCCCGTCCGTCTGCCGCCGTCGACGTGGGACTATGTACTGTGCTCGTCGCCTGTCTCGCCTCACGAGGAGGGAGTTCTGTGAGGGCAAGAACGTTCCTTCGTTTCGTTGCCTGACGTATTCCCGGTTCCCAGAGGGATGCCGGGAACGTCGTGTCTGTTAAATATTTTTTTGAAGAAATGAGTATTTCCGGGTCCCCCCGGGCAAGCGCAGTAGAGCTGGTTTTACGGGAACGTCCGTTCTCTAAACTTCGCTGTGTCTGACGGAAGCATCTGAGGTGCGTGTTGGGAGCAGCACGCGTCTCGGTCCCCGCGCCGCGCGGGTAAAAACCGCGGCCCAGGCCCGAGTCCTTGCTCCGCCGTTCCCGGAGCTGCGGCCTTGGGCGTCCCTTCACGTGCAGGCGCCTCAGCCTTCACGTCACCAAGTGGAGACGGCGAGGGCACGAGGTACCCGAGGGCTGCGGCGAGGCGTCCCCGGTGGTCTGTGTGAGGCGCTCAGACCGGGCGACGTCTGTGAGAAACCGAGGCTGTTCCAGAAACTCCCGGTTGCAGGAGCGCTCTGAGGAGAGACCGATGCAGATCATGGAACCTCTGGAACAGTTTGAGAAAACCGACCTGGAAGAGAGGCCGGGAGGGGTCGGGTGTGGGGACATCTAGGGGGAGGGATCCTGCGAAGCTGGGAAGTCTAACTCAGACCCGAGGCGAAGCCCGCCAAGCCCCTGGTGGCCTCGGCGTGGGGCTGAGTGAACGCGGATGGGTGGACATGGGTGCGGGTGTCACTTGGGACTGGAGCTGGCCCTGTGCCTCAGAGCAGGGCCTTTAAAACATAAAACAGGCTGGTGGCGGTGGCTCACGCCTGTCATCCTAGCACTCTGGGAGGCCGAGGCGGGAGGATTGCCTGAGTTCAGGAGTTCGAGGCCAGCCTGAGCAAGAGCGAGACCCCGTCTCTACTAAAAAAATAGGAAAATTAGCCAGGCGTCATGGCGCATGCCTGTAGTCCCAGCTACTCGGGAGGCTGAGGCAGGAGGATCGCTTGAGCCCAGGAGGTTGAGGCTGCTGTGAGCTAGGCTGACGCCACGGCACTCTAGCCCAGGAGACAGAGTCTCGCTCTATCTCAAAAATAAAAAATTAAAAAACTACGAAACACTAATCTCTTTCCTAAGAAGGGCTAGAAGTTCCACGAGTGCCTGGAAGTGGAGGCTGTGAAAAATAGTGAGACTAGTACAGAAAACTATTCAGCATTGAGAAAGAAAAGTCGTTATTAAATTAAAAGGGAAAGATGGGAAAGAACTTATAAAATACCCAAAGGATGCATGCAAAGGTTATTATACTTTCCATAATTAAGAAAAATATTTTTTATAGGTGATGGGTCATATCTCTTTGTATTATATGCTGACTGCTGTGATTATAATATTCCAGTCAACACACTCTCTTAGCATCTACATGGGTTTTTAAAAATATGATCATTTCAGCATTTACAGTTTGCTGCTGTCAAAGCATACATTCTAACAGCTTTATTGCGATATAATGCACCTACCATATAATTTGCCCATTTAAAGTGTACCATTCAATGGTATTTGGTGTATTTTAGTTGTGCAAGTCACCACCATCAATTTGAGAACACTTTTATCCCCTCAAATGAACTGTAGCGGCTGGGCGCGGTGGCTCACGCCTGTAATCCCAGCTCTCTGGGAGACCGAGGCGGGCGGATTGTTTGAGCTCAGGAGTTCGAAACCAGCCTGAGCAAGAGCGAGACCCCGTCTCTACTAAAAATGGAAAGAAATTAATCAGACAACTAAAAATACATAGAAAAAATTAGCGGGGCATGGTGGCACATGCCTGTAGTCCCAGCTACTTGGGAGGCTGAGGCAGGAGGATCGCTTGAGCCCAGGAGGTTGAGGCTGCTGTGAGCTAGGCTGACGCCACGGCACTCTAGCCCGGGCAACACAGTAAGACTCTGTTTCAAAAAAAAAAAAAATGAACTGTAGCATTAGCAGTCACTCCCCATTCCCCTCGATCCCCAGCCCCTTGGCCATCCCTAATCTCCTTTCTGTCTCTGTAGGTTTGCCTAGTCTGGACATTTCGCATAAATTGAATTATGCGGCATGTCAAGTTTTATGACTGACTCCTTTCACGAGGCATAATGTGTGTAAGGTTCATCCAAGTTGTAGCGTGTATCAGGACTTCATTCCTTTTTATGGATGAATAAGATTCCATTGTGTGGATATACCACATTTTGGTCATCCGTTCAACAGCTGGTGGACATTTGGGTTGTTTCTACCTTTTTGGCTTTTGTGAATAATGCTGCTATGCACATTAGTGTATACACTTTTCTATGTGGATATATATTTTTATTTCTCTTGGGTATATATCTAGGAGCAGAATTGCTAGGCCATATGATAACTCCATGGTTCACCTTTTGAAGAACTTCCAGACTTTTGCAAAGCAGTGAAGCATACATTTTTGCAGTAAAGCAAGAAAATTTATAAATATTATGAATTTTCAACAAGTTCTACTTTTTATCCAGACCTTCTCCTAAGAGCTGATCTCTGCAGTCTGGAACCTCCATGGTGGACAGATGGCCCATGGTGCCAAGGGCAGGTGTCAGGGAGGACAACAGGACAAGGAGAAGAGACAGAGCAGGGAAGAGAGAAAGAAAGAAGAAATGGGTGACTAGGGAAGGAGCGTTAGAGGGTTGAGCTGCTTTTTAGGGGCTGCCAACCCCTAAGCCTGGATGTAAGAATGTGTTTGTGGTGTAAGTCTTCTCAGTAATCCCCTTAGGTGCTTAAAAGGCAGGGGTGGTATTGAGGGGCCTGAACTCCATGGAGAGGGCCGAACACTATGGCGTCAGCTGTAGCCTGTTCTTGGGATTACTCATGTCCTGCCGTGAAGGGCAGATAGGAAAATGACTCACTTCACGTAAAGCAGGGCTTCTCCATCCTGACGCACCAGAGAATCACCTGGGAGCTTTTAAAAACTACCGCTGCCAGGGCCGCATGCCAGAGAGTCTGATGGGATTATCTGCGGTGGGGCCTGAGCGCTGGTCTAGTTTAAAGGCTCCCCAGGGACTTTCAATATGAGCCAGAGCTGAAAACAACTTTTATGGAAATATAGTTTTTATGTTTTAACAAACATTCTTAAACAAACTATTGGGATGACCTTCGGATGCATCACAGAACTTTTTCAGAAGTGCTTGAGAGTCCCAATTATCGCTGCCCCTAAAGAGTGCTAGTGCATGAGAGACTTTGATTGAGGTCGTCATTGGCCACCTTAGTGTTCTCTCTTAGCCAGAAGCCATTCTAATTCGAGATCATGGAGCACATTTGTGGGGACCTGTGAACAGCTCTGGAAGGGAAGAGTATTAGGCGGAGTTGAATCAGCTGAGCCTAAAATCAGCATGACCTCTCAGAGACCGTGAGCCTAGAATAAGTTTTCCGATGTCATATTTGGGAGTGATTCTAGGGGAGGTTTTCTTCATTCAGCCACACATTCACAAATACATATGTATTTGGCACCTTCTAGGTGCTGGTTATCATTTGGAGCAGTATTGCAGAGTTAGGAGACAAGTGCTCTGGGCTCTGTGACTTCTAGTCTCCGTGTGCCTCAGTGACCTTCATGCTACCACCCTTGTCCAAGTCACCATCTTCTCCAGCCTAGATGTCTGCAAGTTGCCTCCTAACTGGGCTCCATGCTTCTGCTCTTAGCCTCCTATGGCCTATTTGCCCCACAGCTGGAGGGATCTTACAAAACAAAACAAAACAAAGCAAAAACAGATGCCATCATTCCCTTGCTCGAAGCTCTCAAGTGGCTTCTCATCACTTTCAGAATACAATTCAAGCTCCTCAGACCTCATGAGACCTCACCCCTACCCACCTCTCCATTCTCAGCTCTCTAGTCTCATCTTTCCAGCCCTCTAGGCCTTCTTGATTATTTTTTCTTTAGGGCCTTTGCACTTGCTGCTCCCTCTGCTTGGAAAGTTTCCCCCCCAGATAGTCAATTGGTGCTTTTTTCTGCTATATCCCCCATAAGATTACAAGTCCCTTTAAAGCAAGAGCCCTGTACTAGTAATCTGTGTCTGCCACAGCATCTGCTAAGGTCACTTGTGTTTAGGAGGTCCTCAGTAAGGCACCTGATGATGTCAATGGATAAGAACGGAAAGAAAATCACATGCTGGGAAAAATCCCTGCCCAGAGTTCTCTGGAACAGGTAACTCAAAAGAGCCAAATCAGCATATCAAGTCTGATGTGGTTCTCTTGTTGCTCAGAGAGCCGCGAAGATTTTACGCTTGTGCAAGCAGATCCTCTAAAAGAAGTAATTTTCTCTTTAGGAGAGTAGCAGGACACAGGCTCAGCAGTAAATTCACAGTATTTTATAAGAAGATGAAAAGTGAAAATCATATGGAAAGTAGACATCACACACGAGCAGCACCACTCTCTCGTGTGTTAATGGTATAGAGCCATAATTTGACCATAATTTCTCTCTTTCTCCGTCTCTTGCTCTCTCAACTATGAAAAATGCTTAGTGGCAGGTCTACACAGCATGAAGCAGAACAGTGGTAGTAGAGACAGATACATTTTGACATAGCACAGTGTTTGTTTCCTATGTTTCTTCTACCGTTTAAGTAACAGTAAGCTTTGCGTCCACAGAAATAATGCCAATAGTGTGGGACCACGAAGACATGGTCCAAAGCGGCTTGAGTCCATGCGTCATAGCCCGGTGGACACTGGTGGCAGAGGTAGGCACAGTTTCCATCTATTTTCTTCCATCTTTGCTTTTAAAGGGTTTTCTGAAATGCTTTCACCCTATGAGCGTTCATTCTCCTTACTGTTTTGGAGTCGCTCCTCATCACTTGAAAATTGTTTATGATTGTCCTTAGTGTATTTTTTCTTTTTAAAAAAAATCCTCTCACATGAATCTAAAAGCAATATATGTTAATTCTAGATATTTTGGAAAGACATAGAACAAAGAAAAAAGGGTCACCCATATTCTACCACCTAGAGAAAAATCTTAATAATTTCTATATTCCTATATGGGAAGACTTTAAAATTTTGAAGATTTTTTTATGGTTATGAAAACAATGCATCTTCATTGTAGAAATTCTGAAAAATGCAGACAACTGTAAAGCAGAAGGAGAAATAGCTCCTAATGCTGAATGACTTTTGTTTTTTTTCTCTTTTTTGAGCCAGAGTCTCGCTCTGTCTCCCGGGCTAGAGTGCTGTGACATCAGCCTTGCTCACAGCAACCTCAAACTCCTGGGCTCAAGCCATCCTCCTGCCTCAGCCTCCTAAGTAGCTGGGACTACAGGCATGCACCACCATGCCCGGCTAATTTTTTCTATTTTTAGTTGTCTGCCTAATTTCTTTCTATTTTTAGTAGAGACAGGGTCTCAAACTCCTGCCCTCAAGCAATCCTCTGACCTCGGCCTCCCAGAGTGCTAGGATTACAGGAGTGAGCCACCACACCCAGCCAGAATGACTGTTTGATAATCAGTATTTCACTACAACAAACATGGAAATCAAAGCATCAGGGTGACTGGATGGAAAATCCCAAGTAAAAGAATAAAACAAAACAAAAACATTTCCTGAGGCCTGCAGTGAGTGACATCTGCAGCCCCTCAGCGCTGGCTGTACCGTCTTGTTTCTGGAAATGCTGGGGTA